AATGGAATAATATGCTTCAGCATGTGGGATTCTTATAAATGCCATGGTTTATACCAAACAGGATATCTACTACAATGTAGGGATAGTTAGTAGATATCAGTCTATCTTGGACTTGATAATTGGTATGTTGTGAAAAATATCATAAAGTGCCTTAGGAGAACCAATGATCTCATACTCATTTATGGATGTAATGATATGGTTCTAGTCAGATATCCTGATTCTGATTTCTAATCAGATATAGATACTATGAGGTTCATAACTTGATGTATGTTCACTCAATGGAATGAAAATCAGTTGGTAGAGTGTTAAGTAGATTTCAACTGCTTACTCAAACCTGAAGGTGGAGTACATTGCAGCCTTAAAGGCAGAAAATAAAGCTTTTTGGTTTGATCTTACTGATTTAGAGGTTGTGGAGCATACTAGCCTGCCTATCGAGCTATATTGAGACAATAATGCAGAAGTAGTCCAAACCTATGACCCAAGGTTCCGTAGAGGAACAAGGTACACTGAGAGAAAGTATCATGTCTTACATGATATTAGCTGGTAAGAAAATGTACTTGTGGCTAGAATATTGCATTGGAACACAACTTTGTTGATCCATTAACAAAGGTGTCATCGATCAATAATTTTGATCGTCACCTGGATAACATTAGAGTTAGATGCAATTCGAATTGGCTATGAGGGTAAGTGGGAGCTGTTGGGAATTATATGCCTTGGCATAACAAATTTCTAGTTGGATTATAGAGACATATGTTCCTGACATATCTGAAATATTTATGATTTATATAATTAGTGAATTCAATGTATTATATTTCGATTCATTATGGAATTGATTGTGTCCATTTGATTACAAGAGATATTTATATATGTATGTAATAGCGATCAATACATGAATATAAATAGTAATCATAAATTGTTCATAGTCTGTAATTATGGATGTACTCATTGTTAACTAAGACTTGAACTGGATTTGCATTAGGTTGAGATATATTGCAAGAGCCGTCGTATGCAATTGCTCCCTATCACTGTCATGGCATTTGACTCTTAAGTATGAGAGAAGTATAGACTCTTTTATTAATTAGTAATTACTTTGATTTGTTCGGCGGAATTTTCGGAATCCTTAAACCGACACTTTAGGTAATTATGTAATTAGAGGGTTATATTTTTAATATTTGCATCATTGCTACTTGTCTTTATTTTGTATTGATTATGGTTGATCACAAAATGAATTTGAAGGTCTTCGTGTGTTTTTAGACAAAATAATTTATTATATATTTATTTATTTAAATTATTATTTTTGTCAAACAAATATTTTATTGTGATCGAGTTAGAAATAATCAAAGGTATCAAAATAAATATATTAATTAAGTAGTCGAATTAATGACTTTATTTATCCGATAACTAATTATGCATAGAGGGGTCAAAGTGCAACATTGACTTAGAGGTTATTTATTTTTTACTTGGAGTTCAATTAATTTCTTTTAGTAGAGTAAAAATTAATTAATTAATTAATTTAATTGGTTCCATGGACCGAGCCGATTATTAATTCATTGTAGCCAAGAAAATAATAAGCCAAATAGGATTCTCACTCATAGCCCAACTTGATATTGGAATCCTATTAGATTTGAGATATGTGAATTAGAGATTGAGAAGGATTTATTGTTTCCTTTTCTTATTTTTATATTGCCTATATGTACATAATTTCATGTATATTTTGGGAGAGACTTTTGGAAAAGAAAAAAGGAATATATTTTATTTTCTCTCTAGATTTTAGGGCTTGTGTTCTCATCTAATGGAGGCTCCCACAAGCCTAATTTTTCAAGGTCATTCATGGAGGCTTATGCGTGATTCCTAAAGGATGGAGATCCAAGGAGAAAACATTTAGGAAATGGTTCTACAATAAGTGAGAACATTCACTTTAGAGGAGCGATCTAAGATTTACTCAAATCTTGATGTAAGTATTCAATCTATTAATTGAACTATACATCATATTTTATTTTTGCATAAAACTTGCCTCTATGTGATGAATCAAGATCTATGTATAAAAATTCCTTGAAAAGTTTTTAAAACTTGCACGTTTCCCAACAGGTAGTAGATCAACCAACACTCTATGAATGTCTTGATCCCTTCAAAGTGTGATCTTCTCCTCATTTTCTTCAAAATTAGAATTTTTGAAGTTAAAAAGAAATTCTGCTTGATGATCGGTGGCAATAGAATCTTGAATCACATTGAGACCAACTGGATGATGAACAACAACCTAAATCACTCAAGTGTATAGGCGTGTGCTATCAAAAACATAAAAATAATAAACTCTGAAAAACTCACACGAAGAGGCTCTCTTAGGTTTTGAAATCTTTAGTGGCAAAGCCGTGTAGAATTCTATGTGAGAGTTTATATAGAAGATTAGAGAGGCCAAGTACGGTTAGAAAACCTTCTCAATTTCATGTTAAAACACCACTCTAAATCAGATAAAAAAGGTATTAGAAGTTGGAAAAAACAAAACTTTCCTTTTTGGTTCAAGAAAGTGCAATTGGTTCAAATTTAGAGTGCAATCGGTTGGACTTTGCCCGAGTGCAATTCTCTGCAAAGAGTGCAACCGGTTAAAGTGCTGAGAAACCCTAATCACACTCTATCCAACTGCAACCTTATTCCAAGTGATCCTCACACACTTTACCCTGACTCTATGTTGTGCATTATCGAACCAAAGTTGTAAGTAACTTCACTTGAATTTTTCGCTTTTGAAACTGAGACTCAAATAAATAGGAAATTACAACTTGATTCAAGCTTCGTTTTGATCACTGAAATATGCCAATAACAATTTTATATTTCACAATTGTCCGTGAAATGTTCCTGTAATTCTAAATCTACAGAAGACCCAACTTTTAAGACTTTGCTTATCGGACAAATGAACTTGAAATTAAGCAAATTAATTAATACATCATTGGAAAGCTTATCGAGTCTAGTTTATGACCATATAAAGATCATCTCGAAACTCTAAGTATGAAGTTGAACATTGAAAAAAAATATATATACAAATATGTCAGAAATTGATTGAAAACAACATTCCATATTGGTATTGTTTTAAAGCACACTAAATTTACTCTAGAGTTTTTAAAACATAAAGTATTTAAAACCTTTTAAAACCTATAAATGTATTCACATACTCCCTTACATCCTCTCTAAGTGATGTTAAAATTTGATCAATATGTAGGTTACTTGCCTTTTAGTTTTCAAAACCGAGATTCAAAGTAAATAAAAAGCCACAACTTGATTAACATGTTTTGACACTAAAATATACCAAACATATCTTCACACACTCCATTAAGGGCAAACATGCGAGACTCAGTAATTTGGGTCTTTGAACATATTTTTTAAAGCCAATTTTAGTGGAAAAGGCATAAGATTCATAAGACCCTATGGGCTTACTTGGTTTATAATTATGAAAATAGTTTTCTTAGCTTCTTAGAAAATTAAAAACTGTACAAAAAATTCTACTTGGTTCAATTTTTTGAAAACTATTTTCTGAAAACTCAATTATAAAATTGTTATCTGTTTTTCAAATTTTCTGAGATCTGTATTGAGAGTTACAAACCAAACATACTTTATATTACTCTTTTCATTTTATATACTTAATAGGTCATGTACGATAAGAAGAATTTTTGAAGAGTAGCGATGGGTTCACCAAAAAAGCCACCGGAAATTGTATTAATGTCAAGAAATTGTCACAGTTCACTTTAACTCAGTAAGTAACACACTCAAACAACAAAGCTATGCAATTATTATAGTCAAACTGAAAACAAAAAATTGTACAAAAAAATCTATTTGGTCCAATTTTTTGAAAACTATTTTCTGAAAACTCAATTACAAAACTGTTGTCTGTTTTTCAAATTTCTGAGAACTGTATTGAGAGTTACAAACCAAACAAACTTTATATCACTCTTTTTATTTTATATACTTAATAGGTCATGTACAATAAGAAGAATTTTGAAGAGTCGCGATAGGCTCGCCAAAAGCCACCCAAAATTGTATTAATGTCAGGAAATTGTGGCAGTTCACTTTAACTCTGTAAGTAACACACACAAATAACAAAGCCATGCAATTATTAGAGTCAACTAACACCATAATTTTAAGTTTAACAAAACACAGAGTTAAAAATCGAATTGAATTAACGTTATGTCTTTAACTGATTCAATAATTGGTCGAAAGAATTTTACAAGTTGAGTCTAATATTATAGCATCAAGAGGATATCTTGAGATTTTTTTATAATTACACTATTTTTATTTATTTATTTAATTTTTTTTTTCAGCATGTTTTCTAACAGATTTCTCTCTCTATCAGTGGCCATCAGCGATTTTTTTTTTTTTTTTGCAAAGGTCCATAGTTTAAAATTTCATAATATCAACTATGCCCTTGTAAAGCCAATTTTAATTTTAAATTTTATCAAAAGTATTGTTATAACTTAGGACCATGATAGTAAAACGACGAGTCCCATAATGCTATGATGTAACAAAAATTTATGACAAAACAGATCAGTCTAAAAAAATAAAAAATAAAAAAAGAGAATCTTGTAATTTCAACAAACTTGAAGAAGATAATTATTAAGTTTGCCCAACCCAATTGTATATTTATATTTGTATGCAATTTTCACGTGCCTGAAATGAATTTATCTAATGGAGCATATTCATGGCCCTCTCTCTCTCTCTCTCTCTCTCTCTCTCCCTCTCTCTCATCTCTCATCTATATAAGGACAGCTTGGCCTCAACAAGTGACATATCTTAGCCCAGTAGCAACAGTAGTCTACTACTCGAGCCAAAAAAATGATGTTGAAAACACCAGTAGTCCACCGTTCAAGCCAGTCTCTATGCCCATTATGGCACAAACCCTTCCTCTCCGGCAACCAAACCGTTTCTTCTTCCCTCCCGCCGAAGCCGGATTGCCGTAGAACCCAAAAGAACTTTCGTGTCAGCTATGTTCCAGGCAACATTAAGGCCGTGACAACAAGTGCTACTGAGAAGTCCATTGCCGTTAAAGCTGTTGTTACCGCCCAACGGAGTGCAACTTTCTTGGCTGATTTGATTGGTCACACTTTCACCTTGGAGCTTGTTAGCTCTGTGGTCGATCATAGTAAGCATTTTTAGTTTCTTTTATTAGAGTAACACAACTATTATCTTTGTCTTATCGGATTCGTGGTGGGGGCGTCTTACACAGGTCCGTTGACTAGTTTTTGACACCCTGATTATTAAAAAAAAAAAACAAAATCTTTGTTTTTCGTTTAAGTTCTTTTATCAGATTTCGAATCTTGTTCAAAAGATTGCGAGGACTGGTCTTTGCTTTTGGTTTTCTCTTGAACGCATCAAATTATTCTTAGTTTGAGAAAGAAAAAAATTAAATTTACTCTCTAAAATTGGGTCGTTTATAGAACATTTTTTAGATATTTTTCTACTTTTTATCTTTTCTTGTTCTCAATAATGAAAATTCCAAACAAAAATCCCATAAAGTTCTTACGTTCCTGCATTTTTTCTAGAATTGTTTATGTTTTTTCAACATATCTAACTACAATTTTTTTGTTTCTACAGATCCAAATTATTACACTCAGCTGAGACTTGCCAAAGTCTTAATTGGGTGCTATATAGATATCATATATGGTTCATGGTTATCAAAAAAATAAAAACAAAAGGAAATAAAAAAAAAAAGAGAGGAGAATATGGTTCTATCAATTACGAAAATAAAAGAAAAAAAACAGTAATATACTTCTATATGATGGCTAATAATTTTTAGAGGTGTTATGAGCTCTCTCCTTCCTAAGCTGGGACAGTGTGGTGTGTGTGTATTTTCATGTGTTGCTAAAAACCAAAAACAATAATTTCAAATTATTTGATCAGCTGTGGTAATTATAGTGAACGAATTTTTCAAATTTTAACAAATGTTTCAGTAGTGTAAAATCCACAGGGAATATGCAGAAAAAGAGTATGCTAATGCTATGTTTGGGAGTACAGAATCGGTGATATGAATTTGAAATTAAAAGAATTTTAGTTAAAATTTGAAGTTAAATTTCTTTTAATTCCAAATTTAAAGCACTAATTTGATGCTCTTAAGCACAACATAATAGTAATTCTCTTTCGATTAGTTAGCTTATTATGAAGTTTCTCCATTGATGGAGTAAGATTCCATCAATCGTAGCAATTGGGTCATGACATTTTTCATGAGCTAGCTTAGTGTCACCCCTTTAGCTTTCAAATGAGAGGGTGTGGTCCATATAGGGACGAGACATTCACGGTGTGTGACTACTATTAAATGTCACTAGCTTTCTGATTTTTGTTTTTGTTCATTACAAGTCAAAATTTGATTGATACACTGATCGAATATATAGAAAGTGGTAAATTAAGCCATCTCTATTAAATTTTTATATCAATCCAGAAAAAAGAAAAACCTAAAGGTCATTGTGTTGAAAATATTTACCCCCTAATTTTAACATTAACCAAAATGGTGAAAATGAAAGTTGACAATGACTAAATTGAAGAGTACACCACACACACACACACACACACACATATATATACAGTGTAGTGTATAGATAAAGAAGGTACATCTTATTTTCTTTTAATTTAGCTAAGGGTTTATTTGGTAAGCGTTTTGTTTTTGTATTTTGTTTTACCCCGAAACAAAACAAGTTTTGTATTGTATAGTGTTTTGAATAGTAATCGGAAACGTATTTGGTAATGTCTATTTATTGCAAAAATTTTTGAAAGTAAAAATATAAAAACATTTTTGGTAGATAAGTGTTGCAAGTTAAAAAAATATATATAATGGCTAGTTTAGAAAGCTAATTTTGGAGTTTTTCAATTTTTTTGGTTACTGTTCATTACTATAGTGCGAAAATATGTAAAAATACCAAATTGGTGTTTCAACTTTTGGTCACTATTTACGAAACGTTTCGACACTATACAAAATAGTTTTTACCAAATGTGTTTTTTCTACTATTCACTGTTACAGTACTTGATAAAAACAAAAGCACCAAAAACAAAACTCGTACCAAACAGGTCCTAAGAGATTTTTTATTTCTTTGATTTTCGAAAACCAAGCTCAAAAGTAAGGATCTATTTGATTTAATTTTTTAAAAACAGATATCAATAACTGAAAAAATAGAAAAATATTTTCAGAAAAATATAAAGAATAGTTATCTTAAAACAATCATTTTCTTTTATGTTCTTTTGATTTTCCATTTTCATAAAGAAAAATACTAACAAAACTATTATAAAAAAACTAAACCAAACCCTACCCGAAACTAATATTTGTTTCCGATCATTTATTGTTTTGAAGAGACGGGACTGGAGAAGCCTCCGATCAAGGTGCATGTTAGACGGGCCAGCGATGATGTTGATGAAGTGAAGTATGAGACTAATTTTTCAGTTCCAGGAGACTTTGGAGAAATTGGTGCAGTGTTTGTACAAAATGAACACAGCAGGGAGATGTATCTCAAGAACATAGAACTTACTGGTTTCTTAAATGGCCCTGTTCACATCACATGCAATTCCTACGTTCAGCCAACGTCTGATAGTTCCGATAAAAGGATCTTCTTCTCCACTAAGGTGAGACCATTTTCTAACCACACACACATAAAGTAATATCTTCTGCTAATATATATATATATATTAGCGCGCACACACATGGACGGAGCCAATGAAAGACCCCGGGGGGACGTGGGCCTGGCCCCGCCATGTATAATGTATGTGTTAATTTTTTTATTTATTTTTTATTTTTACATATATATGAAAAAAATTATATAATGAGCTTACCCTTTAATTAATATATATATATATATATATATATATATATATATATATATATATAATGCCCCTAAATTTTTTGGTTTATAAAATTATCTCTTTATTTTATATTTTACTCTTTAAATTCCTTAAATTTTCTTAAAAAGAAAAAGCATTGTCCGGCAACAAAATTATAAAAGGCAATAGTTTGATTAATTAATTTGTTGAAAAATGATATTCATTCAATACATCCAATGAAAAAACGCTCTCAAAATCATATCATTCAATATGAATGGAAGGTTTAATTCAGTATATCATTAATGATTTAAATTCAATAATTCGTTAGATAATCGAATTATGATGAATCACATCAATTGATCCGTCATCACATAGTAAGGGTTCCACAAAAATTGTCCCTTAATCGACTAGGCCTGTGACCCTGTATAGCATTATTGCACCAATTGATTTTTGTGACATTTGTAAATGAAGCTTACTATACTAAACCCTAACAATGGATTGATGGGACCATTTTTTTTTTCCTAAATCCATTTCGTTGTGGTCACGTGGAAATATTCCTAATGGAGTATTCAGGATCATATCTCTGACCACCACCACCATCATTGTTTTTTTAGATTAATGATATTTATTTTACATAAATTCTCTTCTTTTATTATTTATTTATTTATTATAAGTCAAAATTTTGTTTTATTTAGTGTTTTAAAACATTTATAATAGATAAATCATTAAAAATGTTTTAAAAAAAATATTGAAGAAAAAATTTTAAGGCCCGGCTTGATTCAATTATTTAAGAATAATTTTCAAGAACAACTTAAAAAATATAAAATTATTTTCAAAAAATTAGAAAAGATAGTTATGTAAAAAACAGAGCATTTTCATAAAAGTCCCTGTCATTGAAAAGTAAAAATACAAATAATTAATTCACTCTTTCTTGTTTCTCTTTCTTTGTATTTTGAGTTAATACATACATGTGTGATTATATAAGAAAATGAGCGATTGTTTAGTTAGACAAAATGATGAAATCAGAAAATGGTGGCAGTTGTGACAAAGCTGTGTCTCAATTCTTTTTGTTGTTTCCATGAATATATAAATATATATATAATTGCAGTCATACTTGCCATCCCAAACACCGGATGGGCTGAAGAGGCTAAGAGAGGAAGAGCTTGAAAACCTCCGTGGTAATGGCCAAGGAGAGCGCGAGAGCGAAGACAGGATCTACGATTACGATGTCTACAATGATCTCGGCGATCCCGACAGCAGCGATGACTTGGCTCGGCCGATACTCGGTGGAAAAGGGCATCCATACCCAAGGCGTTGCAGAACCGGCCGCGAACGCTGCAAGACAGGTTTCAAAATTAACAAAGCATGCAATCTTCTTCCCATCAAATAATAATAGTAATCAAATGGTTCCATTTTTTTTTTTTTTGGCAAGAAATTCACACACAACACATACTCTTTTCGAAAAAAAAAGACTGGAACTTAACTTTCGACTTCAAAAAGTAAAAGTATCACTGGACTTAAAAAAAAAAGAAAAGGAAAAAAAACCTTCAATCCATATATATGTGTGTATGTATATAGGCAAAGGATATATTATTCCTATCAGGATATACTTACTTTTTTTCCATATTAGAAGTTCACATTAAAAATTATGACTCACAATTTATGAGTTACAGTTTTTGAAGTGAATTTTTAAACTGGGATGGAGGGAGTATGATTTCAATCAAATGATTTTTGGTTTAAAATGTCACGTGTTTATTAATACCAACCCATTTTAATACCATTTGTAGCAAGTCTAGTCGAATTTATATAATTTTATCTAAAAACTTAAACTATTAAATAGTATTATGTAGCTGCTCCTATAAACCTTTGATTCCCGTCTTAATACAATGTGAGACAAGAATTCTCGACAATAAAATCAAATGCATCAATTACATTTATGCTATTGGTGAATGACATGACATAATTTCAAACTTCAAAAAAAAAAAGTAATAAAAAAAAAAGGTCAAATGTGTTTGACTCTAGGATTCTGTATCACTACCACAGTAACAATAATCACAATGTGTCAATAATCAGAATGTGTCTGACTCTAGGATTGAGTACTTTATTGTTTTACATGTAATGACTGATACAATATAATTATTTCAAAGTTTATCAGCTATTATGGGCATGTTTGGTACATTTTTTTATTTCTGTGAGATACTGTAGTAGTAAACAGTGAAAAAAATTTAGTTTAGTAAAAACTTTTTTGTTTTTGACAGTGTCAAAACATTTCGTAAATAGTGTCCAAAAATCGAAACACTAATTTGATATTTTTATATGTTTCTGCACTATAACATTTAGTTCTGTGATGAACAATAATTTTTTTAAAAAAAAAAAACTCTTAAATAACATTTTAAAATTAGTTATTATATTTTTCAAATTTGCAATACTTCTTTAGAAAATAAGTTTTTTTGTTTTTGTTTATAAAAATATTGCAACAAATGTACGTTATTAAACGTATTTTGGATTTTTATTCAAAATACTCTACAATAACAAAACGCCAGAAACAAACTTGTACGTACCAGACAAGCCCTATATATATGTATTGATTTATGTGAATATTGCATGCAGATTCATCATTTGAGTCTAAAGGCTCCGTTTATGTGCCAAGGGATGAAGCATTTTCAGCCGTGAAGAGTGCAACATTCTCAGCGAAGACTGTATACTCGGCGTTTCATGCAGTTGTGCCAGCCCTGGAGACATATTTTGTGGATAAAGAACTTCCATTTGCATACTTCACAGAAATAGATTCATTGTACAATGAAGGGATTAACGTACCTGCGCTTAGTAAAAATGGGATTCTCGATGTCATACCCAGGATTGCCAAGTTTATTAGTGATAGCAGACAAAGTGTCTTGCGCTTTGAGACCCCAGAAATGATTGAGAGTAAGCACAATATTTACATTATCATATTAGGCTCATGTGGATTTCACTATTGGGATAGAAGTTCTGCTCTCAACTTTTGGAGAGCCAATCATCTTTCCTATATATATATATAAAATATATAACACACTCTCTCTCTCTCTTAATTTTCTTGGGATTGCAGGGGACAAATTTTCTTGGTTTAGAGATGAGGAGTTTTCTCGACAGACTCTAGCTGGTATCAATCCGTATACCATACAGTTGGTCACGGTACAAAACACAACTTCCTAGAAATATATAAGTAGGAAATACTAGTATTTTTGGTTCTATTTCTGAGAATAATTTCTATTTTTTGCAAAGTGAAATGTTTTTTTTTTTAATTAAAAATATGTATTAAAAGTTTCAAAAACCATCTTCTGAAAATGCACTTAAAAAAATTATTATTAGAGAATTGGCGTTTATAATTTTCTATTTTTTGAACTTTTTGGAAATGATTTTAGTAAATTGATGAACCGATTATACTTTTCAAAATGAAAAAAAAAAAAAAAAACTGATTAATGAAACTTAAAAAAAAAAAAAAAAAATTTATAATAGTGTTCATAGGCAAATTCATGTGAAACTAAACCAAATTAATGACATTTTTAAATGACTTTAAAGGCTGAAAGCCTTAATAGGGATGAGAGGAAAAAGAAGAAGAAATCTTACCGAAAAAGGAAGAAGAAAGAAATGAAATCATTTGACACCCACATGAATGTATACAATTATTGTGTTTGGGGGGATTTGTAGAATCTACCTATTTAATGGGCTTTTATGTCAATATTGTGGTAAAGATTGAGAAAAAAGGCCAACATAAAAGAACACAAAAAATTTGTGCAGGAATGGCCATTGAAGAGCAAGCTTGATCCCAATGTCTACGGCCCAGCTGAATCAGCAATCACCAAGGAGATAGTGGAGAGAGAGATCAGGGGCTTCTGTACCATTGAAGAGGTAACTATATATATTGTAAAATCCAATCAAGCATGGTAGCATTACTCTTATATATTTTTGAAACTCATATCCACTTCGTCGTTGCCAGAACTTGAACATTGACATTCTAATTTAGGTGTGAACAAGTACCACTAAACCATAATCCTTGATAAAGTATGATGAATTATACTTTATTTTATGTTTGGAAGGCACTGAATTGGTGTTTTAGGTTTGGGATTTCCAAAAATCTAGTTTAAAGTCATCAGTAGCAATTCCAAATCCAAGTGCCAATTTGGTGAACATTAGTAAATGTCAAACGGAATGAAATTGGATTATTATCATGAAATTTTAAAATAGTAAGATTTTGGTTACATGCAAACACATTTGCTACTTGAATTTCTAAGTTGTCAAATATTGATGGTTTATATGCAGGCTGTGAAAAATAAGAGGTTGTTCATGCTAGATTACCATGATCTGCTGTTACCATATGTGAACAAAGTTAGGGAGCTGGACAACATGATCACAACACTCTATGGATCAAGGACATTGTTCTTCCTCACCCCAGACGGCACGTTGAGGCCGCTAGCCATTGAGTTGACTCGGCCACCATCGGATGACAAGCCTCATTGGAGGCAAGTGTTCACGCCCGATTGGACAGCCACAGGCTCCTGGCTTTGGAGACTAGCCAAGGCTCATGTCTGTGCTCATGACTCTGGTATTCACCAGCTAGTCAGTCACTGGTAAGCACTATTATATGGTTCAACACAACACTTGGTTATTAAATTTAATCAAATTAGATTATAATATATATGATATTGAAAATAAACTTATGGAACTTTCTTGGTGCACTTTTGCAGGCTAAGAACTCACTGTTGTGTGGAGCCTTATGTAATTGCAACTAATCGCCAACTTAGCGCAATGCACCCTATTTATAGACTGTTACACCCTCATTTTCGGTACACAATGGAGATCAATGCTTTGGCACGAAACTTCCTCATTAATGCAGGTGGGATTATCGAGACATCATTCTCACCCGGCAAATATTCTATGGAACTTTGCTCTGCTGCCTATGCGGCACAATGGCGATTCGATTTGCAGGGACTTCCAGCAGACCTAATTAACAGGTAAATGACTTATGTCCAGGCTTAACATAGTACAATTTTACTAAATCTTACACCATTTCTAATAACTTAACCTTTTAGAGTAGATGGTGATAAATCTTATACTAGAACTGATAAGATCCTGAATCGTAATAAGTGTCCACTTTCTATTTTTATTTGTCCCAAAATAAATGTTTAATTTGAAAAGTAAAAATACTAATTTTTTTTAATAATATTACTCATTTAACCTTTTTGAATTGAACCTATAAAAATAAACTAAGTATGAATCTATTAAGGATAAATTTGATAATTCATTCACTACTAATATAATAAAAAAATAATAAAAATCATTCTTTTAAAAAGTTAGAGCATCTGCGGTGATTGTGTATATATATATATATTTTTTTGTATATATATAATGTGTCATAGTAGATTTACACAAAAATTTTGAACTACCTTATCTTTAGCTCCAGCAATTATTTTATATCTTTTGTGCAAAAATTTATCTACCAATAATAACCAATCACGTGTCCTCACATAACTTGTACAAACCTACTTAATATAGGGCTAATTTGTTAATTGATTGAGAAAGAGGAAGGAAAACAATGGAAATATGTTGATGTGGCTGTTTAAAAAAGTTATGTAAGATGAAAAAAATTTAAACATTATATTTTACACAAAATGATATATGTATGTTTTAACAGGCTGCTGGAGATACTCTTAAATTTCCAAAAATAGCACTTATTTTGGAACGAAAGGAGTATTAAAGTTACACTGTCTTTAACAACTTAAACTATAAGAATAGATGATGATTAATAGATACAAGTAACCAATATACTAATCTAATATGTCCTTGTTACTTTGGTGTTAATCAGGGGATTGGCTGTGGAGGATCCAAGCCAGCCGCATGGCCTGAAGTTGGCGATTGAAGATTACCCTTTTGCCAACGACGGTCTCCTCCTTTGGGATGCTATTAAAGAATGGGTTACTGAATATGTCAACTACTACTACCCAAACGCAAGTCTAATAGAGTCTGACAAAGAGCTCCAAGCATGGTGGAAAGAAATAAAAACAGTAGGCCATGGCGACATAAAGGAAGGGTGGCCGGAGCTCAAAACCCCTCAAGATCTGATCGGAATTCTCACCACTATGATATGGGTACCGTCCGGTCACCATGCAGCTGTGAACTTTGGTCAGTATGACTATGCTGGCTATTTCCCCAATAGGCCTACCATTGCTAGGAAGAACATGCCTACCGAAGAGCCAACCGAAGAAATGTGGAAGTTTTTCTTGGAGAAGCCTGAGGTTATTATGTTGATGATGTTCCCTTCCCAAGTTCAAGCTTCAACAGTTCTGACCATTTTGGATGTGTTGTCCACCCATTCTCCAGACGAGGAGTATCTTGGCGATGAACCTGAGGCAGCCTGGGCCCAGGAACCGTTTATAAAGGCTGCCTTCGAGAGGTTTAATGGGCAGTTGAAGAAACTTGAAGGGATTATTGATTCTAGGAACATTGACCCAAATTTGAGGAATAGAAGTGGAGCTGGGGTTGTTCCATATGAGCTGCTGAAACCTTTTTCGGACTCTGGAGTGACAGGGAAGGGAGTTCCTAATAGCATCTCAATTTGAAGATAGAATGGTATTATACCTGAGTTGAGATACTATGTTTTGAAACTTGTGGCTCATATAATGTATTGCTGGCTTGTTTCTTCTTGAATAATACGAGAATAAAGTTTCAAATCAATGGGGTTGACTCCAAATAATAGTTATAAAAGTTTGTTCAACAGTTTTTTTATTTTATTTTATTTTTTTTTTTAGTATGGTTCCGAATACCAGGGTACGTATCCGGAGTCTCTTAGACAGTCGATTTTACCATCATATTCAACAACCGAAAAAGTGAAAAACCCTCCATCAAATCAACTAAAATCCTTTAATAACTTCGGATCGTGATGGTAAAACAACAAATCTCAGTAATGCTACGTTTTAACAAAAAAAATTCAAACCAAAGAGATCAACCTAATTTTCACAAAAGTAAAAATGGGGCATATTGTAATTTCAATATACTTCAAGAAGATAAATCCTTTAATAACTTAGGACCGTGATAGTAAAATAACAAATCCCATTAATGCTATATTTTAACAAAAAAAAAAAATTCAAACCAAAGAGATCAACCTAATATTCACAAAAATAAAAATGGGGCATATTGTAATTTCAATATACTTCAACAAGAATTTTTTTTTTTATATACTCAATGGTTTATTACGTACTATGTTTTTGTTTACATTAATCTAACGCATTAGGACCTTTGCTCAGACCAATCCCAAGACTCATGAAGCACGCCTCCCTACGTACTATATTTTGTATGTATTTTCGCGTGCAACTTGTAGAGCATATTAGGGATGCACAAAAAAACCCATAGAACCAAACCGAACCGTGGGTTTCAATCCGATTCTTACGGTTTCGGTTTCATTGCTACTATATATCATCATGTTTTTGTGCTTATTGGTATATCTTATGCACGAATGATAGTTTTGATCTCTCTTCATATTATTTCTCCCACATTATTTCTTTTCCTTCTTTGTTGAGCTTTATTTGTCAATTTGTAACAAAAAGGGGGAGAAGTGTGCATATTTGAGGGGGAGAGTTTCTAGAACTGAGGGGGAGATCTATATATTGATATTCACATATTGATATATGATTGATTGTTTATCTCTCTTAATTAAGCTTCACAGGTAGTTTTGTTGAGCTAATGTGCAGATTACAGATTGCTACATGTGTTGAAGCTTCATGAAGTAAGAAGAGTTCCGTTTTATTTCTTTTACAATCATTGTAATTTGTTTTTTCTGCTTGGTAGATTACATGTTGCTTTTAGGGTTTTGTCACGAAATTGCCAAAGGGGGAGATTGTGAAATATATATTTTGGGAAGATTGTTATATAGATATATATATATATATATATATATATATATATATATATTGTATATTGGCTAATTTCGTTGTCAAAACAAATCCGATCGAGTTGTAATTTTTCGGTTCAGAATTTCAAGATTGAAGATCGAATGCGGATTTGAAGAAGTTCAAGTGTTCATTGTTTACTATACTCCGGGATGATGTAAACAATGCTTTAGGAAGGTATGTGAGTTAGTGGGAACAATCTAGGGAGTTTAGAAAGTTAAGGAAACAGAGAATACACTTCTGACCATTGGGAACCAATAAGAGGATCCTTGAATCGGTAGCCAAAGTGCAGATTTAAAGAAATTCAACACTGCCAACTTTGAACCGATACCACAGATTGGGAACCATACCAATAGTGCGTCGGAAAGGCTTCTGACCTTCTTGAACCGCTACCGCAATTTGGGAACCGGTTCCAGAAGTCCTGGCAGCATTAGAATTCCAGTTTCCATGTTCTGTTTGATTCCTTTTTGAACCAAACTTCCTTCCAAGTCCTATACACGAAATTTTCAATATTTTCAAAGAGATTAGGACATTCTAAACTCTATAAAAACCTTGATACTCATCTAGTTTTATTTACGGCTTTTGCATACAAACTTCAGATCTATTAAGGTTTGAAATATGTGTTTTTATTTAGAAAATCAATCTGATTTTTCTGATTTTATTTTTGAGAGCATACATATAAACAAAAGAGTGATTTAGGAGTGTTGTTCTCTATCTCATCAGAATTAGAACATAATTGAAGATCTAGAAATTTTGAAAAAAGCAGATTTGTTCATTCTTCTACAAATTCAGATATTGAAAAAAATGGGTGAAACAATCACACTTTGAAGGGGTCAAAGTATTCGTGGAGTGTTGTTTGATCTACTTTCAACTCTTCTACAAAGATCGAGAGTAAGTCTGAGGTCGAAAGCTGTTGGACGAGGGAGTTGCAAAGTTAGGGATTGTCAGCAATTCATTTTTGGTATAACGATAGGGTGTGAGCCTGAGTCAAAGTTGGGTATACTTTGCTTCAAACATAGTAGGTCATTTATGTCAAGACTGTATAGTCTAACGAGATTTTTCTTGTTACAATTGGTCTATTCTACAAATTGAGGTTTCCTCGCTAAAAATCCTAGTCTTATCTCTCAAATTCTATTTACTTTAATTGCATTTACTTTTGTTTTGTGGTTTGATTTTAGTTTTATTTCAGTAAAATTAAAATAAGTAAAAATTGGATAAATGAGCAAGGAAAATCTATTCACCATCCCTTCTTGGTTATCTATCCATATTATATTCCACAACTCATTCCGCGCACCAACTCCCAGCAAGTGGTATCAGAGCCATCCTCTATACATTGAGTTGATCCTTGTGGAAGTTTTTTGTGAAAAATAAAATTATTTTTGTTTTAAAAAATTCATAATGGAAAATCCTATGAATAAAGGTGAATTGGATTTTGTTTTTGATGGTTTAAGCTCTGATGAAGAACTTTTTCGTTTATTTAAAAAATATGGAAGACTCCTTTAAAATAAAAAGAATAAAAATAATAGCAAAGGAGATCCTTCTAGATTCAAAGATAAGAAAAATAAGAAAGATAATTCTAGTGCTTTTCTTGCTCATGTTGATTATAATACTGCTAATAATTCTTCTTTTTGTGTAGGAGATTCTAACAAATTTGGAACATTAAGCAAGGTTGGTTCTTATAATTCAGATGATCAGAAAATTGATAGAGAACCAAGTGAAAACAAAACATTGAAATTTTTTGAGGCAATGTTAAAGGTTAGTCAGAAGCAGTCAGAGAAACTAGAGCTGATGAAAAAGGAGAATGATACCTTGAAGAAGGAGAATAAGAAAAAACAAAAATTGCTTAAGGAGAACAAAGTTGAAATTCAGAATCTTCAAGGGAAAGTAAAAATTCTTGAAAGCGAGGTAAGTCAAGCTAATTCTGCAAAAGAATCTTTTATTTCTAAATTAGAATTTCTTGAAATTGAATTGAAAAAATCACAATATAAAATTGATTGGATTTACTTCTAGATAGATTAAGCTTGATAAGATGACTAGTGTTGGTAAGCATGTAAGTGATAAAATTGGATTAGGTTTTAATGAGGCTACATCCAGTAAAGAGGGTCAAACTGTTTTTGTTAAACCCATAAACTTAAATGTGCCTATTGTTAAGCCTAAGTTTTTTGTTGATCATATGCATACTAAGAATGTGTCCAAGGTACTTTATTGTTCTTATTATGGTAGAACCGAACATAGTCAATACTATTGTTATAAAAAGAAAAAGGATAATTCTTGTTCTGATTTTCATGGTTATAATTTTTTTACACAAAATAGGTTTCATGCTAAAAAGCAAAATAATTGGAATAAACTTTTAAAAATTAGTGCTAAAAGGAATTCACATAAGAAAAAGAATGTTTTTGATATTCCTCAAAAATCTCTTCAAAAGTTGAAGGTGAAAACTGTTTGGGTAAAAAAAGGGGATTTGAGGTTGTATGTGCCTAAAGATGCTACGAAATCTATTTCCAATAGGTCATTGGGTGCAAAACCCCCAGAGTAAATCATAACAATGTTTTAAGGTCATGGATTATGCTTTGATGGATATCTTGTTTCCATTGGACCATATCTTGTAATTTAGGATTTAAGATTTTTTTCTTTCATGAGAAAGTGATGATCATATTTTTCTTGTCAATGCATGAGTGGTAATTATTTCTCTTGAATTAATTATTTTAGAATGCAAATTGGGGACACACAATAATTTGATGAAAATATTTTTGATGTGTAATCTATATGTTGAAAGACAATTTGCTTTGTTTATTTCTTTTTAGAGATGAGTCTCTTAAATTCATATTTTTCATGTGCCCTAGTCCAGCTCTGAGAAAATTTAATTGAAAATCATTGTGAATTTGACTAGGTCGTATTGCTCGTAAAAACTATAAAGGTTATTATTTTTTTAAAAAAAAAAAAAAATAGAGCATGGGTTTAAAAAAAAAATGATGAAATTTCAGCATGAAAAAAAAAAAAAAAAATCAAAAGAATGCTGAAAATCTTTGCCAAAAAAAGGCTACCTATTGAGACTAATTTGAAAGCTCCTACTAGACTTTGAAGAAGAGCTATTTAAGTAAAAAGAAAGGAAGAGATAAGTCGAAATAGGAATTGTTGTCTACTCTTTAGAGTGAAAGCCGCATTGCTTAGTAAAACTTGCTCAAAATAATTTTATCTTAATGCTTTTCGTTCAATATGATTTAGACAATTAGTCAATGTGATTTGATTGAATTTAATGAGATTGGATTGCACACACACACACATATGAACTTGCTAGGAAAATTTCTACATCTTCATAAAAATTGCAAGTTGACGTTTTTGTTGTGACTGCATGCTTGAGAATTGATTTGATAGAATAATTTATGATGTCTAAAAATTTCATGTTTTAAAATTCTCTTAAATTCTTTAGAAATTTTTGGATCTCATGTATGTTTGAAATTCATGGAAATTGCTATCTTATAATTTTTGTTCAAATATCAGAAAAATGAAAAAAAAAAAAAAAAAAAAAAAAATTTGAAAAATGAAAAAAAAAAAAAATCTAAAAAGATTTTCCTTTTAGTTTTTTTTTTAAGGAAATTTTGTTTTTTGATTGGATGAAGATATCATCTGAGTGATTTTGAGCATGTTTGGTCTTATTAATCTTGTGGATGGAACATGTGTTATATTGGATACTTGTCTTTGGTTCCATTGTTACTTTATATCATCATGTTTTTATATTTATTGCTATATCTTATACATGGATGATAGTTTTGATCTCTCTTCAGATTA